AGATTGTCCTTCAACGAAACTTGTTGGCTATTTTCAAAGGCGAATAGATTGGTGCTGTCTGTGGGAAATTTGGAACAGCTAAACCACGAAAATCCCACATAAAAAGAGAATACCTAATTTTCAAAAAAGGCTAAGGAGAAAAACCTCTGAGTAAAAGGAAAAATCTTTGAATAAAAGAAAATAATTCCTGAAACAGAGCCAGAGAAGAGCTATCCACCAAGAAGGAACAACCATGATTCTGAAGAAGAAAGAAATCGCACCAGGACAGGCCAAAGAACGTGTTTGCGAAGGGACATCCTCACAAAGTACCCCAATAATCCAGGACCGTTTCCAATCACCCCCGCGTTTCTCCACTAAAGAAGTGGCTCGAGGAGCAGGCCCAGGCTAACAGCAAAGCTCACCAGAGAGATAGTCGTCGTCACCACAAAATTGAAAACCATCTCCCGACAGAATGTTGCAATGCGTAAACTGTTGAAACGCATGCAAGGTCAATTGGCCAATCCTCACAAAACGATGAAGTCATTCCTCTAGGAAGAGGGGAGTATGTGGACACAATTGCCAACTATGACATCGATCAAATAACTGAGAAGACTGATGTTCTATTAGAAGGCAGCAAGGCCAACGCGCCAAATGAGACGTGCCAGTGTCTTTGATAGGCTTGGTCCTACAAGAAATAGACGGGGCCGACCTCCCATTCCACCCGCTCAAGTCAGGCACCCTCCTATTACCTTGAACATGTCACATCTGATCAATTCCTTTTCAGAGGAAAATCAGCATATACAACCTCAACCAAGAACCACAGATGAGCTCATTTTTAGATACATGCATCCCCCGCCGAGAAATAGGCATGAAAGACGAGCTGCATTAGCTCGGATTGGACCAACTAAGATTGTTCACGCGAGAAGAAATAGGCATAGGCCTAGGGGAGCCCTCTCGCAGAAAGAGGTGCTAAGATATATAACTACCAAGTCAGACTTCAAAACCCTGGCCGACATGAGCCGACCTTTGCAGTAGGTCGATGAACTAAGGACACAAACCCTACAGAAAAGTGATATGCTGTCTTTCCCATCCCATCCAAGAGATAGAGTCAGGTGACAGAAGTCATAACCACCATCCTCATATGAAAGACAGAAGGCCTCGTCTGAAAAAATGAGCGCCAATTTTGGCCGCTTCGGATTAGCTCTTCTTGTGGAAAGAGGCACTAAGACATATAATTGCCAAGGTAGGCCCAATAACATCGGCCAGCAGAAGCTGACCCTTCGACAACAGCGGCTGAAAAGTGAGATTCACTGTCCCTTCCAATCAAAGTAGCTCAGGCATAAGCCTTATAGAATTATCTTACCTAAAAAAGTTTTGGCTCAAGTGGTAGAGGTCGATCCTCCTACTCCGAGGCTAAAAACTTCAGCCCCATCCAAATAAGAGAATCAAAATAAATCAGAAGACATACCCCTACCTCATATATAAACTAAAAAGAGCCATGTAGAAGTCCGTTCAAAGAAAAGGTGAAGATGAAACCACCTTGATCGAAATGCCAAATGTAGAAAATAGCCAAGGAAGACCCGACATGGAACTATCCCCAAAATACACATACACCCTAAAAAGGAGGACTATGCACTAGCTGTCAGTATAGCCTTGCACAAAGGCTGAGGGGCTTCAAAAAATGAGGACCTCAGCTCCCCTCATAATGAATTTGAAGTAGGCAGCTTCGGCACACAACCTCGTCTCTTTCAACAGAAGATTTAGGCCACATCTACGACGAGTACTTGTGAAAATTTTCATTAAATTGTCTCGCTCTTAGATCCCCATTGTTTTATTATTTACTTTTGAATTTGAAATTGATGATAACTTGTATGTAACAACTAAGGCTAAAATATTTCATGACCCATTACACCGTTCCTACCAGTACCATTATACATGTTATTTTACACTGTTTTCGAGCATGTGACATGACATGATCTATTCCCCACCACGAGGAAGAAGAGGCCAAAGCCCTCAACAAAATGCATGGCATTTTTTGAGGCAGTTCTCCTAAAAGAACAGAAAAAATAGCTCATAGAGGTACTCCGAAATATGAGCTTAAAAAGCAAGCGTCTGCAAGGCTCAGACCAAGAAAGGGAACCTCGGTAAAAGGGGTTGGAGCCCGAATGTGTCCACCTCAGAAATAAAAACTCACCACATGGACAGAACAATGCAAAGGGTTAGACCATTACAAGGTTGACCCTCGTGAAAAGGCACAGAAGTTGTTTACAAAAGGATAAGAAAAAGGACTACTGCAAGGACATGATCCTCTCAAAACATTCCCAACTATGAAGCAGTAATGATTTGAAGTTCGAATACATTCGTATAAAAAGGTTAAAAGAATTTTATTTATCGCTACAAACGCATTACAATCAAGGGCAATTGGGGCCACTTATAAAGCATTACAAAGTACTCGCGAAAAAAAAATAAAAATTGATAAACAACAATGACAATGTAACTACTACATCATATACATAGACCATTGAACCTCTTGCTTTTAAGGATGTCCACCATATATCACAACCTTTACAATCACGAGGTCTGCCGATCTATGTCGAAACTCAACGATATGGCTACAATACACTGTGCCTAGTTAATATTGACAGAGGAGGTAGTCTAGCTGCCCAGGGGAGGTACGTTAATACTAATCCCTATGGATCCACGTAGTGCGGCTCAATGCACTTCGGATGGGATTCACACCCTATTATAACATAATTTATTCAAGGCAGTGGATGACCCTCCGCACTTCAACACTGTTCCTAGTGCATTCAAAGAAGATTGTGCTGAGCCAGCATTTTCATTCTCACGAATCCAAGCATCCCATACATTACACCCAAGGATCACCCAACTTGCACTATCCATGGCATTGCCCAAAACCAAGCAATTACTTATATCAACTCCCTTCAAAATTCACCAAGTATGATTTTTGATCATATTACAAAGAAACAAGACAAAACAATTTGCACCAATAAATGAATGTTTAAAGCAAAGGATGAGCCTTTTATAGGCAAATACACGCATTTTTGACCGCCAGATCTTTAAGATCTGAACTGTCCGAATTCGAAAAACTTATAGGTAGTTCGATGAAACCAATGTTTCAGCTTCAAGGCCTAGATTAAAACATGTGGAATACGTTAAAAACTGAGGGCACCACCCTCCTCGAGAAGACCAAACGTCAGCATCTCAATCTATGGTAATAAATGATGAAAGACATTCAAACAACCCGAACCGTTTCACACAGCATAGAGCTTGGGTTCACATAGTAATGCTCACGACCTTTCACATATTCCTATGCTGACCCTATCCAACCCCTTTCTCTAACACTCATAACTTCGACTACACTACTCCACAAAGGAACCTCGGTCTACCCCTTTAAGAGCTTTGGCTCTGCTTTGAAGGCACCTCTACTAATCGCCATTGAGAGCTCCAACTGAACTAGGGGACTATAAACTCAAATTTCAACGTCATCTTCCTCTCATAAATTCTAATTCCCACATCAATGTTGGTAAATTAGACTTGGGGGGCTGGCATCCATCACGAATTTCTTTCCTTTGAAATTATGAAATTATAAATTCTATGTACCACATAAGTGATCGTACATAGACTTGGGGGATTATTATTACTAATCAATACAGAAAGGTTCACATGAAGACCTCACATTCATACACATGGCAAGTACCCAAGAATTGATGCAGAAGGGACTAATGTCCGAAACTATCAAATGAAGTGCTGAGGTCGTTGCGCTAAGTTCTGTCGAAGTGATTTACTCTCTACTATCTGAAGTCCTTTACAACCGGAAGAGGGTCGAACAAGCACGTCTTCAGAGTTGACTGATGTGATGTGCCAATTAATGAGTGTTAGGAATGTCAGCCTAATTTATAGAGTGACTGACATTTTGTCAAAAATCTATCAATGTAATTAATATGTAATAGAGTTGATGTAATAGTTAGGGTCGGCAGATCAGGCCACGTGGATCCAATCTAACGATGATCATGTCAGCCTAATCACTATAAATAGTCAATGCTTGTATCAATTGAAAGATCTTGAAAAATTACAAAGAGGTGAATAAAATACTTCCATTGCCTACCATTCATCTTCTACCATAACAATATCTATTTTACAATTAACACACTACGAAGCATGCCCATACACACATTGTCCTTCAATGAAACCCGTTGGCCATTTTTAAAGGTCAACAGAATTAACAACCCCTAGCAAATCTTCAATTATCAAACATCACCACCATAAATACGAGCAGACGAGGGCTGTACTAAATATATTTTAAATTGGGCTAATATGTAAAAAAATTGGGAAACAATTGTAACTAACATACTTTTAAGATTATATTTTCAAAAATATCAAAGTTTGAGAAACTTTCAAAATTTAAATCATAATTCAATTTTTATTTTTATTATTATTTTTTTTATAAGAAAATAGGGAGTAATTGAGTTATATAATAAGAATGTGACCTGAATGGTAGTTAGCAAATGATATTGATTTTTCTCTCTCATCATATTGCTTCTCTAAGGATCTACATGCATTTATTTTCTTCCATATTTTCACGTCTCTGGTAAAGAATAAATGATGGCTCCATAAAATCATAATTTCCTCCCCATATTTTCTAGTCACACATTCTATTTGTCATAATTGGTCACCATTCACATGCACCATTCTGCGTATCATAGTGGGGAAGGCGTTTGGAATTATAAACGTTCACGAAATTGTGGCTTTGTATTCACATGACATGATGTAAATTTGTAAAAATGGTAAGAATCCCATTTTGTTTAATTAGCATTTCAAAAATTAAAATTTATATATACATTACCACAAAAATGGGATTGGTGACAAAACAAAAACTGAAAAACATATAATAAAAATCATATATGAATTACCATATATATATATATAGACACGTTAAAACCACAACATGTGAAAAAAAAAAAACAATATTTACAAAATCTATTCTCATAAATGGGGCTCAATTTTGAATACTTAATAATTGGATAACTCCTTTAAAAGTTAAGTGAAGTACAAACTTCGGGAAGATGACAAAGGACACAACATTATTCATGCAATTTACAAGACCAACAATCAGCTTATCCTTCTTCCCCCCTCTTATGCGCAAGCAACAAATAAAACTATAAATGTCTATGATAACCTTACTAGATAATGCGACAATAGGCACGAAAAATCATATCGACCCAGTTTGCTATAGATTCTGCAAATTGTATCCTAGAGGACCTTGTCCATATTCTTGACACATTTCTTCAGACTGATGAAGAAAAGAAGTTGAGTCCCCAGATCTTGAGGAATGATCAAATTCATTAGACCACCATTCAACATTTCGGAAACAATCCAATTCTGCTATCTGACTCTCTGTAGGTTGCAAATTAGCAGCTTCTTTGCTGAGGAAATCATCAAGTTCAGAATGCGTATATGTTGAACCTGTCTTAAATCCTGTGTCAATGTCTGTGTCCGTGATCGTGTTCAATTGCTGGGCAACCTTGAAGTTGTTCATATTGCAATACTCTTCTTGAAGTGTAACAGCAGTGGGATTTGGACTATGAGGGGCTTGTGGCATAAGAATATTTTGATTTTCATTCAAAGAATATTGGAGGTTTTGTATCATTTTTTGGGGATTCAACTTAGGCCAAAGTGCAGGATTACTGTAGAAAGAGAAAGGGTTTTGTAGCCCTTGAAGCTGCATGTGGAGCTGAAGTCTTTCCAGTGCCGAACTGCTCAAGTTTTGCAAATAGGCATTATCATCTACACCTTTTGGGCTCTGATCATCTGCAATTGAGAGCCTGTTCGTGTGAGTCGACTGTTTGCGCTTTCCGAGCAACTTTTTCTTCAATTTGGTGTTCCAGTAGTTCTTGATATCATTATCTGTTCTTCCAGGCAGTTGTGCTGCAATTACGGACCACCTATGATCACGTAGATTTGAATGAACTGATCAGTCCAATGATAATTTAGACTACTCTAGAAAGGTTGGTACACAATAGCATATAGTACTCAACGAAACGATCGTAACAATTTTTTTATTGATTTATACAATTTAATTTATCTTAACAAGCGTGCCACTAAAGTTCAAGAAGGAAGACTTACAAAACCCTTAAATGAAAATTTTGAATCTTGAGAATCAACAGATGATTCTTCAAACAAAAGGATCATGGATAATTGCAAAAGGACAAGTAGTAATGGCTCAAACTCATGAAAATTAACTACTTATGTATATATTTTTTGCCTGTGCTTGTGCATGTGCTGTAGGGTTAGGGAGGGGGAAGAAAGAGAAAGACCTGCTGCCAATACTAATATAGAGGCTGCAGATGGTGTTGTCTTCTTCCTCGGTGAATCCACCGTGCTTGATGTTGGGACGAAGATAATTTAGCCATCGGAGTCTGCAACTCTTTCCACATCTTTTAAGCCCTATAATCATGATTTCCATATGTTAATTCTCAAAGAATTTGGGGTCAAGTACATGAATCATTTTCCCCGATCAATTAAGATATCAGATGTATAAATAATATTTAGAAAATTGATGTTTACTACGTACCAATTTTTGGGGGAAGCGCAATCCAATTGCCACCAGTACCATATTTCTCAATATAGACTTTGAGTTTTGCGTCTTCTTCAGGAGACCATGGTCCTTTCTTCACGTTGGCTTTGTCACAGCACGGTGCTCTTCCCATCTCGGATTTGTTTGCTTTCTCGATCTTCCTTCTTAATTTCTCCGAACACAAAACGAAGCTGTCTATGATTTGATGAAGAAAATTGTCGGAAGGGAAGACCGGCTTTATAGGTAGGAAGAGGGTGATGTGATGCTCAGGAGAATCACAAAAGTCTTCACATCTTTTCTAGGGTTTTTCAATCTTGGATTAGGTCAGCAATAATTTTTCATTTCTAAACTATTAAAGAATGAAACGATTTATTAATTGAACTTTAATATGTGCACACTGTCGATTTTGTTTTAATTTCTGATAAGTTTGATAAGTGTAAATTCTTCATAAGTAAGTATAAACTCGACTTTTATATTATTAGCTACAATACCATTTTACACCACCTCATTTAAAAGATTAAACTCGTATATCTATTTAAGTTAAACTGTTTGTTGGTCCGCAATAGCTTATTATGTGTGGAGCTAATGTTATAACAAAACTCAAGAAAGAAGACTTCCATCCTTTTAGTGTGTCACTAACCTCCTTGAAATGTTCCATTATTAGGGCACCTTAATTTGTTTAATAACAGATAAAAATAAGTGCTTTACAATCCTTCAGAAATTCATTATGTTGGGATTAATGTTAAGTCTCGATAACTGTGAACTTAAGTAATTTTTAGATTGTAGCACTGCCTCTCAATTAATTTTCAGATAACGACCATTTAAACGTTCTTATTATAGTAGGTACATGTTATTGACAAACTTAATTATAAGTATCAAAGTTAGAACACTGAAACAAGATTATTTACTTCATTCTCTATACATTTTGTTATACAAACTTGAACCCTGTCAGGTGCAGGGTTCTTCCGGGAAAATTCAATCAACACAAAAAAGAATGAAAAATAAGAAAAAAAATATTTCAAGTTTGTGGTAATGTGACAAAAATGTAGATTTATTCTTCTTGTTCAATCTTTAATAAGGAAAAAGGGCATGAAATTTTCCACCCATCTTGAGAAGAAGGCAGGATCTCAATATTTTTTAAGCATAAACACAGTCCAAGCCTAGGCAGGCAAAAAAAATCAAATAAACAAACAAAAACAAAAGCAGGTATATAGCTCACTAATCGAGCGCTCCAGCACCGAAGATGAATGGGACTGAGCGATCAAATTAATGGGATGGAAGCTCAAAGATTATAATAACTAAAAATATCAATAAACTATTTTTATTTTTAATAAATTTTAAGTTGGTTAGGTTTTTCTCTATTCCAATTGATTTATATCATTTACCAGAAGAAGACACAATTAAATTTTGGAAGTATTTAAAGTTTTTAACAGAATTGTTATTGACGTGGATGTAGCCATAGATGATTGGATTATTCTTTTTTCTCATTCCATCTTTCAATCAATTCCCATCACGTGTTGCATGTCAAAGGCTTCTGTCAAAATTTCTTGCACTTGTAGCATGATTGTTAAATATTTCACTCATTATTGACCTAAAAATAAAAATAATAAATAAATAAAGTTTTGAGGATCCAAGTGTTTCATTGCCTATAGGTTGAGACTTCATCACAATTTCCCTTATTCAATTTGATATCTATACTTCTCACCTTCTTACGTATTCGATTGAAATCTCTAGAAGATAATACTCAAATAATTATATCGTGTCTCATTTCAATCCCATTGTAGACGTATTTCAAAATTTCACTTAATCACGTAAATTTCCAGTCAACTTGTGGAGTCGATTGCATAACAAGTGTTTTTAGCATATTCTATATGTGTTTATTTGGTTTTGGACACCCTAAAAGTAACAAGTTGGCTAGGTTTTTATATTAAGAATATGTTGAAAAAACATTAAAATATTAAAAGTAAAGGAAAAACAATTGGAAATCCATTGATAATTGATCAACCTTGGTTCCTGGGGATAATATTTTCCTATGCATTTTGTAATAATATAAGGAGTAGGAGGTCCGGAACCGCACTTTCATAGCAATAACAAGAGGAAAACTGTCGAAATTCAAAAGCATGCAAATATTAATGTATTAAGTATTTAATCAAATTGACTGGGATCTTTAGGAAAAATACATTCTTCTGTTTGTCTTTCTATACATCCTAGAATCAATCTCTCTCTCTCTCTCTCTCTCTCTCTCTCTCTCTCTCTCTCTCTGTGTGTATGTATGTATTTGTATTGTATATCCATTGACACTGCAATTCATACATCATCAAAGAAGACCAAACATATGAAACTTTTAGGAGGTGAAATAATCCTTGATTATAACCAGGTAATCATAGGGTCATTTAACGTGTTTAACGTTGAATCACGATACTTAAAACTGTAGTTAGTTAGGAAGAAGATATTTTTTATTTATTTAATTAATATGACTTCAACACTACAATCTAAATTTAGTTTTCTTTCAAATGTCTCACGTTTCCACAGTTTTATAAATGATTCTTATGTACATAATTTTATTTTATTTATTATTATTATTTTTTTATGATCATGAGTGTTTGGACCAACTTACGCGCATCTCATCTAATCTCACGGGACCTTAAAGTTATGTACATAATTTTTATAGGAAAATAATGGTGGAATCGAAGTGAAGTTATGTTAGCTCTTATACTGCATTTGTAATTAACCTAATCGACATAATTCAGGAAAGCTAGATCAAGTGATACGCTATTCCAACTCCAACTCAACACACACAAAATGAAAAAGAAGAGAAAGAGAGGCTTGTTACAAAATAGATTTAAAATTAACGTAACTGACTTAATGTAAGACTTATAAAATGTGGAGTTAAAAATAACATCTTAGCAACTTGAAAGGAAGTTCAAACAGAGGCTAAATCTCGTTTTCAACACATGATGCGAACCCGGTTAGCAAGGTTGCTATCGAACTCACAAGAATTGACACCGAATCCCAAGAATGCCCAAATACGACTGAGGTTTAAGAATCGATCCGCAAAAGTGAACCAAGCAACTGCACGTATATGAAACGAACGACCTCTTAATCACACAATCTTGAAATCTCCTCCGGATTTTTGGACTTGAACCAATAAAATTATGAACAAAAAAATCCAGCGAGAATGATGCTTGAAAGACCCCTTGATTACATAACCCAAAGATTCTCACCCGTTGTTTTGAACGCCACAAGAATCACTTTCTTGATAAGTTTGGCCTGCCCATTGAAGAACAAAGATAATTGAAGCGAAAAGTTTCGAGAGAAATATTCAATAATTCATGTGAAAAGTCTTGTGTATTACAATGAGAAAATAAACCTATTTATACTAAAAACCTAGCAAGTAGTTTGAAAAGGAATAAAACTCTAAAAATATAAAAATTACCAAAATTAAAAATTCTAGACAAAATAAAACTCCTAATAACATAGAAATTACCAAAAATAAAGAATTCTAACCAAAACTAACAACTTGTGAATTTTGGAAACTTTCCTTGTCGGAATTGACGTTGCAGATCATATCAGTCCCTCTCTCTTCGAAAGGATTTGACCTCGAATCCAAACCTTGAATGTTCAAATTATAGTCTTTATCTCCAACCAACGCAAGAATATGAAATGGCCCGTCACCTCTAGGATGCAATTTGGACCGCTTTTGAACTCGAACCCTTCTCTTGCATATGTAAATTCAATCTCCTTTACATGGATCAAAATGCGTATGTTTTGACGACTTCCTCTTGCAAGTATAAGATGCTCAAATAACAATATTCTTTAGCAAGTCATCGTGCTTCCTCCATTTCTTACTCGGCCTAGGCAATTGTAGCAATGTCACTTCAAATTGACGCATGTTTCCTGGCATATCAATTCTGTAGTTCAATCCACTACATACAAATTCATTCCACTGCCTTCGAATCTCCATAGTCTCCTCAGGGATAACAAAATCAATTTTCGGTATTATAGAGATATCCAGATTGAAGCATTGTTGTTGTTGAATGTCATCCACTATTTGATAATCAATGCGTTGTAAGGGATTCCAATCTGATTGATTTCTGAAATCGAATCTTCGTTATCCTGCAAAATAGAATTGTTCAAAATGGGAAGAGAAGTGTTAGTTATCGCCAACTCCTCCTCCACTCCACTCTCCTTTTCCACCTCCGAAGACTCTCCCTCATTTTGTTGTAGCGCCACTTCTAATTTAACCATTTCTTCATTCTTATTTTTACCTCAACCTCTTTTTCATTTTCCCGTGGTTCTTCTCTCTTTTTCTCACAATCAACTATCTCACTAATTTTATTTTTACTCTTTGCACCTTTGGATGATTAATTTGAGACCTAAGAATGTCGAGAATCTCGGAGAGTTCCTGTTTATAATCTACACAGTCCTCTTGCTTGATGTATTACCTGCACACTTCGCACTAGGTGTTTTCATTTCCACTGGATAATCGTCTCTATAGCATCTCCTAGGCTTCTCCCTAAACTCGACTTCTCGCCAATCTCTCCTATAATAATTTGTATCCCTTCTCCCATGTCTATCGCCTCTATTTCTCGATTCCTATACTTTATCAATGCCACAACCATATCCATATACATCACAATTTTTTCATCCTAGGTCCCGTATCCTCACATTGAACCCCTCATCACATTGATCCCTATGAATACTTTTCAATTTCACATACAATCTATCCAATTTATTTTCCATATTCTCAACCATCATCTCAAACCTTCGTATCATCCTTTCCGACATTTGGAATTGACTTTGACGTGAATTTGACATTTTTTTGATTATTTTTTTAAACTCTTTTTCCCCCTTTTTTGACTCAAATTTTTTTGTAGCGTACGGATGAATAGTAATTTTCTTTTTTTCAAAACACAAAGACAACTAGATTACTAAAGATTTTGGATCTAAAACTCAACAAACTGAAAAAAATTTATAAAAACTTGTAAAACACAAAAATAAGAAAACAAAGACTCAATAAAAAAATAAAAAGATATAACCTCGATCTTGGTGCCTTAGCTCTGATACCAACTGATGTGAACCAGCGTAGTCAATCACTACCAAACCCACAAGCAAGATTGAAATTGTCCCCATGAAAGTCAAAGCAAGGTTTTGGATTAAACTCAACGAACTTTGAACCAAGCAACTCGAATCGCTGATGATGCGCGAACCTCTTGATTACGGAAATTAATTGAATATCACCCGATTTTGTAGATCTGGCCCAATAACACTGAATCAAACAACATCACAATCATATAGATATGCCAACATTTTGATTACAAAGAA